TTTTCTTTCTGATATTAATTGGTTAAAAGTATAAGTACAAATAAATGTTTAATAATGACTATTTATTAGCAATGAAATATGATGTTATTAAATATATGTGAAAAATTTAAAAATTATAGAGAGACTAGAAAAGGATTTTACCTTAATTCAAATTAATAAATTAAATCGAAGATAAAAAGAAAATTAAAAAATATACGAAAGATGATGATAAAATTTATGTGTGAACTAAATTGAACTAAATTAATCAAAAAATATTAATTTTTATAGAAATTTTCAAAAATAAATTTAATTAAATTTTTAACGAAAAAAGTTGAAAAAATGTTTAATTAATTAAGGTAAAATAATTGAATGCCACGGACGGTATAACAACAGGCACCCCCGGGAACGGGAAAGACATTTACTGCCATTTATATTAAATGATAATTTAATTTATTAAACTTCCTTTTAAAACAGTTTAATAATGATGATAAAAAATAGAGAAAAAAATAAACAAAATTTGAGGGGGTTGTGTCAAAATTGTTAAATAGAGGAAAATTAAATAAAACATTTAAAACAAATCTAAATAAATAAAAAATTAATATTTATGGAATTCATATGTATTTTTGTCAAAAAATAAATTAAATTTTAAATAGCTTCGACAAATGTTTTCTAAAAGAAAATAAACTTATTTTATGTATTTATACATAATAAATTTTTTCCTATTAAATTTTTCTACTCTGATTTAACGTCGAAGAAGAAAGATATCCCCGTGTCAAAATTGATTTTAGAATTAAAAAATAGTTAAAATTAATAAAAAGTTTTAAAATTAAAGATTTATAAAATAAATTTGAAAAATTAAATTAATTTAGATTGAGGTAAAGAAGATAAAAATATAAATGAAATTTTTTGTGAGAAATATTTAACAAATTTTAATTAAGAAAATTGACAATATAAATTAAATTGTAATAAATAATTAAAAAATAATTAATTTTTTAGCAATGTTTAATTAAACTAAAAATGGTTCTGATTCCAGTAAGTCAACCATAATACAAATACTGATGTGCTAATGCTCAACAGGGATATCTTTAAATAAAATTATTCTTATAGATTATATAAAATTATTTTTATTTATTAATTATTAAAAAGACAAAATAATGTATTTAAAGAAATATAAATATTAAATATATAAATTATTGTTAAAAACAATTCCTCTTAATCTTCAATACTGGAGGAATTTTATGTGAAATAAGAAAATGATGCAATTTGGAACTAATAATAGATTTCCACAAAAAATACTATCACCTTGATAACCTCATAAGATTTTTAATATAGTAAAACATTAACTCTTTAAGTAATTAATTGAGACTACTAATTAAGTAAAAATAAATTTCGTTCGAAAAATAATGGTTAATATCATTTTAACACCTTTTTCGACAAGAATAATTTTATATATAAACATACATATATTTAGTTAATTACTATTTAATATTTGAAGTAAGAAATAATTAATTAGTAATTATTTAAATGAAACAAAAATAAAACAAAAATATATATTAACATCCTGCATCAATATTTGATGTCCATGTCCAGGTAAAAGCAATGTTGATTTCGAACTTAGCCTATAACTTAGTTTTTGTACCTATAATCTAATTTTAGATATTATTTATTTATATAATTATAGACTTAGAATATAAAAATAATTAATATGATGCATTTTAACTTATTTGCATTTTACTCTTAAAAACTACATCTTCTAACAGAAAATTATAAATCTATTTTATTTTCTAGTAATTGTATCTTCTAAACCTAAACTTTACATCGAATATTTTCGTAGGAATAAAACAAAACAACAGTAAAAATAAATAATTGGAAATTTTAATAATTATGTAGCCCTTTTAAGGGAAAATAATAAAAATATTTAAAGTTTTTAATTAATTAAACTTATGCTTGGTGGAATACATCGACAAAACATGTTTAAAAATAATTTAACTATAAACTATAGATAATAAAAACTTGCTTTGTAAAATTAGAATCTGATTAATCTAAAAAATTAAGAACTGAATCTGATCCTTAATTTGAAGACTACTTAGTAAGAGAAATTATAAAGGAGAGAATAGTGTTAATGTTTTTATTCTCTTAGTAAAAATGATTCTGTCATTATGGATATTTTATAATAAAACTAGAATATTCTTATAAAATGTATTTATTAAAAATTTAATAATTAAACCAATAATATTTCTGTAAAACTATAAAATATAATTATAAATCATCATCATGAAACAATGATAAACAATAACTACAATTAATAGCGGTGATAACTGATGTGTAGGAGGTGTAATTATTATTGGCACAGTTGTTGATGGATCTGCTATTGGATTAATTGAAAATATTTAAAAATTAAAGAAATTTAATTATTTAACCAACAAAATATTTCTTTGAAATTGTAGAATATAATTACAATTAAAAATATCTCCTAGTAGAATTATAAAAAGTAGAAAATACATAGTATGAATAGTATACATAAAGTATAAATAATTTATTTAAATATTAAATATAAATAAAACATTTCCGAGTTTAACATTCCTCATGAATGCAACGACGAATTACATAAAGACTGCATCTGCTTTTGGAGAAGAACTAAAATTCAAAAAATGTTTAATGAGTATTATATGAGAAATCTGAGACTTTTATTAATATTATGGAATAATATGAAATTGTAAATTTCAAATCTTATTTATTAGCGATAAAATATGATGTTATTAAAAATTTTTTTTTAATTATAGAGACTAACAAAGAATTTTAAATTAATCCAGATCATTCAATTAAATGTAGGATAAAAAGAAAATCAAAAAAGATATGACAGATGTTGATAAAATTTATATGTACTATAAATGATGCTGTTTTTAAATATGAATCGTATAACGATATTAAGAAATTGTTAGAAGGCAGTGTTGAGATACTTGCTAATTTAGTATTTGAATTAGCAAAAATTAATGAATATTATACTAAATAAAATTTAAATAAAATAAAAGAATGTTTTCCTAAAAATTACATCGAAGGAGCCATTGCCTATTAAATTGTGAGGTAGTAATTTATAAATAAATAAAATAAAGTTTTTTATATTAAATTTTATAAAAAAATAAATTAAAATTTATAACTACAAAATATTAATTGAGAAAAGGGTAAAGTTTTGTTCACAAGAACAATTAAATTTGTATTAAAATTTGTAAATAAAAAATAAAAATTTGCTGTGTTCTGCAACAAATCTGGGGGCTCAGCCGATTCAACAAATAAATAAAATTTATTTTTATTTAATTATAGATAAATTAATCTAATTTTCAAATTTATATATTAAATTTAAATTTCAAAATTCCTGACCAAGTTATTAAAAAATTTAATAAATTAAATAGTTAATTTCGAATATTGTTGTTATAAAACAATTAATTATGATATAATAGAGAGTTAAAATAAATATGTGAATATGTAATTAAAGATATTCCCAAGTTGATTAATTTATTTAATAAAATTTTTAATAATCAAAATAAATAAATTAATTTTAAATAATTAAAAACTACAAATATTTTATCTAAATAATTAACTGTCCAAAGCTAAATTAAAGAATTTTTATTCATTATGGACAATATAACCCACTACAAAATTCCACCGATTGTACATAAAAATGACTACAAGAATAAAAAAATGACCATACGAGATGTGCTCTATCTTACTGAAAAAAGTAAAAATTTTATAAATATTACATTAATTTTTTTAATAATTTCAGACACTTAATTGTATTTATTTTATTGAATATTTGGAGTATGTATTTTAGATTAGTTTTTACTAAATTTAATAAAATGTAGATGCTTCAGATATGCATTAAATTTTAAATAATTATTAATTATTTACTTATATATTAATTTAATTTACCCTTGAATATTACATATAATAATTTGTTTAATTTTCGTATTTAAAATAGATAAAATTTAAAACATTTCACTTTTTATAAAAAATAATTTTGCCTACAAGAACAATTCGGGAATAAATATATAAATATTTTATATAATAGTATATGTATATAAATTTAATTTGTATAAAAATAATTAACATATGCATAATAAAATTAATTGTAAATAAATAATAATGATAATTATTTTAAAATATTAAATAAAATTAATAAAATATTTTTGTTAGTTTTGTTATTTTCTCTTCAATAAAAAATTTAATAAATTTTTACAAATTTTATGACGAAAGATTTTACAACTAGATAAATTCAATATTAATACAAAAATGTTTTGTTGGAGAAATAAAAAAATAAATTTGAGAAAATAAAAATTAATCAGCTTTAAGTAATTTAAACAATAATTAGAAATCTAAATTTACACTTATGGAAATATTTTTATATAATTTGATTTACAATATTGGTTTATTATGTTATGGAAAGTTTTTTTTAATTTAATAATTTAAATATTTTATTTAAATCAATATTTTATAAATAAAATAAAATTTAAAAGTCACAAACTACATAAAATTAAGCCTTGTCTTAAGATTCTTTAAAAATCTATTGTCTAAAATATGCTTCGCCTTTTTAATTCCCTCTCATTTTTATTGAATAATTTCCTTCCTTAATAATTAAAATTTATTTAATTAAAAATTATTAAAGAATTAAATACCTTAATTTAATTTAAATGTTTATACGTATAATTATTTTTTAAAATACTTTTATTTGAAAGAATAAATAAAGGTTTACTATATAGTAAATGTTGCCGTACTTTCGTCATTTTGCGGATTTTTTTAAAAATGAAACATATTCTAATTTAATATAGGATGTCAAATTTTCTTTTTTTGTCTAATTCTAATTAACACTTATCGTTTATTTAACTTTTGCATAAATTTCCTTCGAGGATTAATTTCATAAAATAATAAACATTAAAATTAAATTTATAGTTTCTTCCCAATAAGATTCAAATATGCATTCAATGAATGTTTTTGTTTTACTTCAATTCTCGTTTCTTCTTTTTAATTTAATTGAAGAAGCAACTGGAACTACTCGAACACTTCGAATAGTCATAAAGCCAATGACGAGAAACCAAAATGGGGAGTATGTTAACGATGAAGGAAATAAGGAAGCTTTTGGAATTCGTATGATTTGTTTTAGTGGAAAGAGAAAAAGAAATTTTACAACCCCAGAACCAATTGAGTCTATTTTTAACGCAATTCCCAATACAGATAATGATTTTAAAATGCCGGCAACTTGTAAAAAACAAGGTCCAATCTACATATACATTTCCCAAACAATTAATGCAAATGTAGAAGAATCTGACCATGAAGGTTCTCATAATTCTGGTTTTTTGTTTAAACATGGAGATAACTACAAAAATTGGGTAAATTAATATATTCGTATAAAATTATCTAGAAAATATAAATCTATATTAAAAATTTAAATAGGTTCAACATAAAATTCAACTCCCTTCTGAACCTGATAATCTCAAAATTACATTTGAATATATAGTTACAAAGGCGGGTGGAAATGATTATCATGCTTTACCTGAACCAACGGTTGAGCCTTTGATGAACTGAAGAATTTTGTGATATTTATTTAAATTATTGTGTTGCGATTTTTAACAATTATTTTATTTTTCGGATAAAAGTTTGAACATTGCACGTAAATTTTTTTATTTTTTAATGTGTTTTGTAGATTTTTTTTAGATCTGATTGCTTACTTTCTATATACATCCAACGAAAATGGAAGTATACCTAAGCCAACGAATGAAGAACGCATATTCATCTTTAATTATTTCATTAAATAATATATAAAATTCCTAATTAATAGTTCCTAATCAACATCTTAGATTGCACAACTGGGAAAATGAATTAATTTTAAAAAATTTCAAATAGAAAATTTCAATGATGACATTTATTTAATAAGAATTATTGTTTAATTTATTTTATTATTAATTAAAATATAAATAAAAATGAAAGGATTATCATTAAAATTTGTTAATAAATAAAAATTTAGTTAATTCTATAAAAATACACAAATAAACATTTTTAATAAATGATTATTATAAAAAAATAAAAATTGAATTTTAATATTAAGCTTATTTAAATAAATAAACTTTTACGAATTAAAGCTTTAAGGTGAGGAGCCCTGGCTTAAGGTGAGGGAAACATTAAATATATTAAATAAATCCAACAAAAGTCCCAATTGAATTTACTCTTCTAAAACAAAAAATAAAATGATATACAAAAATTATCTCAAATTTTCAGCCAACACGATTAAATATAGAACTGTTAATAATTAATTAAATAATAATAAATGCTCAATAAATTGAAATAAAATTAATATTAAATAGAATAAATTATTTTTATTTAATTTTAATTTTGTTTAACAAAACTTAGTTTTTGTAATAAATATATAATAAATTGGAGTTATAAAAGGCTAATATGAAAAAATGAATTAAAAAATTGTAAATTAATGAAAAAAGCATAAAGGAAATTCAATTCTATGATGAGATCTACTGCCACAATTGCATGGAATTTATTATTTGAAAAAATTTGAGGTTAGAACATCTTTTCACTATAGAATTGAAGTTAATTAAAGTTTATTTGGTAAAATTGGAAAAAATATAGTTAAAAAAACATTTAATGATTACCCCAGTAATATTTAATCTTTGCTTTCCCAATATAGCTCTAATTTAATTTTATTATTTTATAATTAAATAAAAAATATGTAAAAAGAATTATATAAGAATTTAAAAATGTAGTATTGTTACATAAATATTGTTACATAAATAATTTATATTTTGTAATTATAATCTGAAAAATTTAGAATTTTTTTATTATTTTCAACATTTTTAAAATTAACATCATAATAAAAAATTAATTTTTAGATTTATTAATTATAATTTTTGTCTTCCCAGAATTGCTAAAATCAAAAATTAAATTTTATTGAGAAAAATTCTAAAGCACATTCGTACCTTTTTCAATTAAAAATAAAAGGAAATAATTTGTATACAAAAATTAATATTTAAATTCCTAGAATATATAATTCGATAATATTCATATTAAAACAAATCGAAGATATATGCAACGTCTTTAAATACCAAAAGTTCGAGGGATAACTAATTTATTAATTTTTTTGTTATAAAAAGTAATAAAATCCTAATAAAATAATACTAATTAATTACGTTAAATCTGAAGATTAATAGTACTATTTTAATTTGCAAATTTGCTGAGTTCGCTCAGTTATTAAAAATAATATTAAATAACTTAATTTTAACTAAACTATTTTTAAATAATTTTTAAAAATAACCTAAATAATTCTGAAAAACCAACAAGGAAACAGTTTGTTATTAGGTTCTGTTTTTTAAACTGGATAGAATAAATTTGTGATATAAAATAAAATTACAGATTTGTCTTCCTATTATCCAAAATCCATAACACTCTCATTAAAGCTCATATAGTGTAACATTTTGCAAATATCCTCTTTTATAAAAAGAAATAAATTTATCTTTTGAATAATAAAAAAAACTGTTAATAAACAAGTTGTAAATTTCTTTATGGTATTTGATAAATAAAATTTTATTTAATTCTAAATATTAAATAAAAATTTATTCAACAACGTTAATTTAAAAAATTATTCAGTCTAGTTAAATCTAAAGGCAAAACTTTTCTTAAGTATTGACCGCAAATTATTAAAAAATATTTAAATTGTTTATTTAGGATAATAATTTATTAAGATAGTAAATAAGCATTAATTTCATTTAAAAAGAACATACAAGGATTTAAACCAAGTTTACAAATTATATTTTTCTTATAAGCTAAAATAAAGAGTAATAGAAATAAATATAAATTAATTCACAATTAAAATAATAAGATAAAAACGATTCTAATTAGGCATATTTTTAATAATTCAATTTAAAGAAAATTGGTAATTTTTAGTTGAATTAATTTTATTTTATACGTATTTTATTTTAGAATTCAGAATTTTGAAAATTGTTAAAACTAAAATGATTTACATATTAAATTAAACAATAAAAAATCAAATAATTATTTAAAAATATATATGTAATGTTTCACTATATATTAATATTTTTATCAATTTTCGTAACAAAATAGAGCATTGAAGATTGCTGTGCAGATATTTTATTAAAAAATAATTATTAACTATAAAAAATGCCGTTTCTACTATAGAAAATTAGTTAAATTAAATAATAATGTTTAAATTATATGAATTGATAAATTATATATTTTAAAATAAAACTTTGTAAAATTAAATTATAAAATATTTACCGTTTAAAAATGAATTAGTAAATTTGGCCTTCTTTTATTATATTTTAATTGAGAAAGTCTGAGAAAGGATATTTACTATTGAAGGCTCATTGATGGCTAACCATGGAACCGTTTCAAAAAATAATTAGAATAATTTGTTAAAAAATATTAATTATAATAATATAAATAATAATAAAGTATATAATACAGCCATTAGTTTCAATGTTAGCCATAAAATGTGTATGTTTTTTACAAACAAAAATTAATAAAGTATAAAATTTAATAACAGAATAATTGAAAACTCAACGATCCTTGCTAAACAGTTTTGTACATATTTATATATGAATTATTAAATTCTTTTATTTATTAAAATAAATTTATTATTTAAATATTACCAAATATTAAATTTGAAATTTGATTTAGTGACAGAAATGTGGTTTTGTATTTTCTGCTTCAACAATATTTAATTAAAACAACAATTAAATACTTTCTCAGTACAATGTGTACACATAATTCTAATTTTTTAAAAAAAAATACATACAAGCAGACGTTACTCACCACTTTTTAATTTTATTCAAAAAAATATTTGTGTAAATTTGTAAAATTTTTAACAGAAATATAATGACAATAAATTAATTAAATATATAAATAATTATTGAAATATATTTAGCAAAATAATAATAAATCTTGGAGAAAAAATTATGTCCTTATTTTAATTTTAAAAACTACAGAAATTAAATTAATATCACAGAATAAATGATAAACTTATAAAATGCTTCAAAAAGCTTTTAATTTTTGTAAATAATGGATGATAATATTATTTATATAGCAAATAATAATCAAGGTAAATATTCCAATTAATTGTTCAAGAAAGTAAACTAGTCAATCAAAATTAATTGCTTAAAAACAAATATCTAAATGTTTTGTTTTTTTAAATAAATTATACATTTTTAATAATTTTAATTTTTTAATTTTACTTTTCTTAATTAAAATAATAAAAAAATAAACTTGTTAAAAATAATTTTTTAAAACACAAAATTATTCAATTTATTTATAAATAAACACTTGACGAAATAAATCTCATATTTCGATGTTACATCTCTATATCCTTACATCAATGTAACATTAAAATAAAAATTACTTTAAAACTCAAATAAAATGAAATAATAATAAAAATTTGTAAATAAAAAATTTTCTCTAAAATACTACATATCAAACTTTATGTATACAAAGATAAAAACAAATTTTCAAAAATATTATGTAGCATTAGTGGAAGAACAAAGAGTTTATTTTATTTTTACCAACTCACGCAAAATTAATCAAACACTAAGTTTCAAATAAATTATTTAATATCTAGAAAATATTAATTCCTGACTAAAATAGACATTCAGTAAATATACTGCTACTACTCATTAAATTTAAATTTTGAATGATGAATCAGTAGATTGAAAAAATATTTGCACATTAAAAATATTTCACAAACACATTCATTAGTTATTTAATTATTTTTTTATTACAATTTAGCTTTGAATGTATATGATAATTATTATCTATAGATATAAGTAAATGCAGTTATTCATAATGAATAATTTTTATTTTTTTAATAACCAATTATTTTTTAATTTAAAATATTTAATAAAAATAATAATGTTAACAAAATTAAATATTATTTTATTTATTTATTATGTCTTTGCCGAGAAAAATTTTCAAGATAAAATGATAAACAAGAAGGATCAGCAAATGAATAATAGACAGTAAGTTTGATAATATTCTTTCTAGAATAGTTCAACTTTATCCCGACTTTTTGTGATCATTTCTCTGAGTTTTTAGTTATTTCTACATAATTAATCTGTCCCTTTAAAAATCTGAATTTGTCGAAAACACGATATAAAACGCCATTTTCTTCTTCTACTTAAATAACATAATCCACCTATTCGACTCAACTTCCCAACCTCCATATAATATTCAGAATTTAGCAGCATCTCAAAAATATTTTTAATTAATAATTATTAAATTAAGCGTGTTTTTAACCGACATGGTCAATACACATTTTCAGCTCCCATATTTAAATACCGATCAGTGTATGTTGCGACAAGGACAGAAAAAACTTGGCTCTTATGGTTTAATCTTCGAAAGGCCATACTTCTATCTTTGTGACGAGTAAATAAAAAATAAAATTATTTCTTTTGTTAAAATATTTAGATTATTAATTTGTTACCCGAGCCAACTGATCGGTAATAATAGACGAAATGGAATTATTACAACAGTTCCATATCGCCTTCGTGAAGCAAAGAAGGTGAATAAATTAGTCTATTTTATTTGAAGTATGTATTAAGGAGCTCCTACACTTCTATTTAGGAATTGCAATAACCGCCTCAATTTTTAACTCAAATTATCGAAAATAGGTAGGTTAGTATCTTTAAGGAAATACAAAGTAAATGTGGAAAAAAGTACGAATTTCGGGTGGACGTCCAAAATTATGTAACAGGAACGAAATTGAATCATAAAGATTCTATTTTTTGTTTTTTGTCCTTTTTTACAGATATATGAGTTAATTAATAAGCTCCTTAGGCTTCCAGTTACTTCTAGTTTCATATTCCCTTAATTCTTAGTTTCATTCCTCTATTAACTATTTCAAATAATTCTCAAATTTAAAAGAACAATATCACCCTACAATGCGAACAACGACGAAAAAAATTTTGTAATGAAGAGAAAAACAAACATTTGTGTACGATTGGACAGCCTGGATCGACTATTTGGCATGGAATTATGATTAAGACTGAAAACAAGAATCAAAACCCAAATAATTCCACTGTTTTTGTAACAACAATATTATTGTCTATTACAAAACAAAAGTAATAAATTTTATTTATTTTGTAAGCACTAAAATATTAAAATATTTAAGATATGAAATAAAGGACACATTGAAATTCTATATAAAATTTGGCCGTAAGGAAGATATATTCACACGTGTCATTTTGAACAACGACACTCTTAAGTGTTTGTAATCGAATTTAAAATTTGATTTAAAAGTACATATTTAGCAAAACAAGTGTTTCTTGGCAACGACAAGAATCTTCTCAAAGAATACCTTTCCAAAGTTGATAAGGGGGCATCTCTTCACAAATATGCTGGCCTGTGGGCTCTTGGATTGGATTTGCTACCAACATCGACAGAACAATATTGTAAGGTGGACTCTAGACCCAAAGGCTAAAGAGCACTTTGATTAACACTTCCGTTAATATTACTTTCCCAGTAAACATATTTGTAATGTTTATATTATTTATTTATCCGCCCATTAATGTTCATTATATAATATTTCCCATTCTTCCCATTAGATAGAGTTAGGCCTAACACTTATATTATTTCCATCATTAATGTAATGTAATATTTCCTATGTGAATAAAGGCGCTTATCATACTAGCGGTAACATCTATGCCTCGGCAAGCCTGAGGATCTGATCAACCCTCAGAGCTTTACCGATTAAGGTGAAAGGTAACCCAGACTTAAGTCTTACTAAATACCCCTAATGGAAAGGCCCTAGCCAGCACGCTCCAATTGGCGTGCTGTGTTTCTGGTAGCACCGGATGGTTCGCATTTTGCGACTTTCCATTGGCCTGGGCGGCCGGTAAGATTAAGAGCTGGTAGAATGCGATGGCCTAACTCACCCGCGGGTTGCTTCGGCAAGCAGGAATGTCCTCCGGAGGTTAAAATAAATAATGGGCTTAATTTAAAAAATAAGGGCAAATAAAATAAAGGGCTAAATTATGGGCTAAAAAATAGATTGGGCTAAATTAAATGGGCTTATTAAAAAAAAGGGGCTAATAATTTAATGAAATAGATTTAAGTATAAGTAAATCCCATTAAAGTTAATGGAGGCCCTAATATTTAGAAAAATAAATTATAGAAAGCCCAATTGTTAAAAAAAATAAATTATAGAAGCCCAGACAATAAAATGAATTATAGAAAGCCCGAATATTAAGAAAATAAATTTTATAAATTAGAGAAAGCCCAGATTAGCCCAAATTATAAAAAATGAGAAAGCCCAGATTAGCCCAAATTATAAAAAATGCCCAGATAATGAAAATATAAGTAAGCCCGTATGAATTAAAGAAAAAACCCATATTAAACAGAAAAGCGAAAGATGTAAAAAAATTTCCTTTGGGAAGAAAATTCGTGTCTCATTCCCTCTTATTGTCCTTTTCCCTATCCTTTGTGTTTCCTGCAGTTGAAAGTCCCCTCCTCCCAAAAAAATGAGATTGGTCAAATTAAATAGGAAAACTTTTTAATGAATTATTCTTTCGGGAAAATCAAATGCTTAAAAATAAATTTTTAATACCGAAGTATAGAAAATTAAGATTGGTATAATTTTTTTGATTTCTATTTTTTAAGGATTTGTCTATTTTTTAAATAAGTAATTTTTATAAAGGTAATTTTTCCTTCGGGAAGACAGAATGAAAAATTGAAATTACCCAAGTATAGAATATTCGTAATATGTATGTCTTTAAAAATCCAAAAGGAAAACGCAAAAGTCGATGCCGCACAACCAAGTTTTATGTAAAATCAACATTAATTATTTTTTTTCAAAAAAGCGCTTTCTCAGCTATTACACAAAGAAGTGCACAATTTTTTTCTTTCCTGCCTAGGCAATTCAGCAACTTCAAACTTCGATCTCTTGTTTTTCGTGTTTTCCTTTTTCTACTCTTCCTTAAAAAAAATAGCTTGGGAATTTTATATTTTACACTAAAAGGAAAGTGTTAATGTGTCATTCTATTATTAATTACTTCTAACTTAAAGTATGTTTTATTGGAAAGATTTTTTTTCAACTAATACGATTTTTATTTTATTTATTATTCCATTAACTAGGTATTTCCGACTTTATTTTTTTTACTTTTAAAATATTTTTATTATTTTTATTAAATATTCTAGAATGAAAATTTAATTTGCAACAACCAAATATACAACAAACAACAAATTCAACTTCTGCCAATTGGACAACAATACTTTTGCTTCGGCAAGACAGCATCATTTATTTTAGAAAGAGGCATTAAAAAAAATTTTTTTGAAGGATCTTCACTTCTGGTATCTGAAAATACGTTGCTTTGGCAAGTCTGAATTTTGGGGGATGTAGTTTAAATTTAAAAAAAAGTTTATCAAATTTTAAAAATAATTTATAAAACAATCTAATTTTTAGAAATTTTCAGTGGTCTACACTTCTGGTATCTGTGCACTCTTACACGTTGCTTTGGCAAGAAAAATTTTGCGAGTGGAGGTATTTAAAATTAAAGAAAAACTATTTTTCAAGATTTTTGAAAATTCTAAATGCTAATCTAATTCTTAGAAAATTTCAGTTATTTGTGCGTCTTATTACTACTATGATCTTATTTATTTAACTGTGTGGCAAGCAAAACTTCAAAATTAATACAACAAAAACATCACTCAATCAACACATTTGAAAAAATCAACAAAAAATTTTCTTAATTCATATCTGCCTAGGCAAGGAAATCACTTATACGCTTTTCTGAAGGTATTTAGAAATAATAGAATTAATATTTTTATGTAATAATATTCGTTTGGAAATTTTTTTTAATTAAAATATTAATTTTTTTTGGGAAATTCTAAAATTTACAAAGAAATTTTTTTTTATTCTTTTCTGAATATTTTATACGATTAAAAATGACTAAATTTTTTTAGGAAAAGTTGATGGAGTCTTTATAGTTTATTTTTGATTTAAGTAAATTTTTTTAAGATTAAATTCGTATATTTTTTAGTATATTTTTATATATCTTTTTAGAATAATTCATTTATTTTTCCCTAAGTATTTTTTAAAAAAAGTAATATTATTTTTTTGGGAAGAAAAAATCTTAAAAATACGTATTTCTAAATTCTTATTAGGTCTTTAAAATTCTCAATACAAACGCAAAATTCAGTTGCGCACAACTATTACTCTATATGTAGATAAATCTTATTCATTTTTCCTTTTGCAGAAATTACTTCCCAGCTATTACACATTAATTATAAAGGAAAAATTTTTAGATTGCCTAGGCAAGTCCGCACTTTTTCTTAAACTTCTATCACTTTGTCTTCTCTTTTATTATCCGCTTATATTTTCTCTTCTTTTCTTTTCTCTTAAAAACAGCTTGGGAAACTTAATTTTTTACAATAAAACAAAAAGAGGAAATGTGTCATTCCTTTTAATAATTTTATTTTAACTAAATTATTTATTTTTATAAAAATAATATTTTCATCTAATTTAAACTTATGTTTTGTATCTGAAAAATATTTTTAAAGATTTTTATTAACTAGGTAATTCAGACTTTTATATCTTTTTAATATAATAATATTATTATTTTATTTAACAATTTAGAAAAAATTAATTTGCTACAAACAAACAAAATCAAAAAAATTTAGTTGTTTTGTCGAGACATCATTTTTCAGAAAAATCAGGTCTGGTACTGTGATTTCATATACTCTGCTTTGGCAAGACAGAATTTTGGCGAGGTAAAAAAGTTTTCAAATTTTCAAAAATATTAATATATAACACAATCAAATTTTTGAGATTTTCAGATACCTGCATATTACATTGGGTCTTCAATTATTATTTGCAGGACAACAAATATTTTTGTTTCGTCGAGACGCAATCTAATTGGTACCTGTGCTTCTGAACTACATCGTTCTATTTATTTTTACTTGTGCGCTTGTGGTATCTGTGTATTTTTATACTTTGCTTTGGCAATCCAGAACTTTGGTAGAGGTAGTTAAAATTAAACCAAATTGTTTCAAATTTTCACAAATAATAATCCATATCATAATCTAATTTTTTTGAGTCTTTTAGGTACCTACACATCCTTCTTATCGTCTCTGATTCTATTTACTTTGTATTTTGTGACAAACAGAAATTCAAAGAACTACCACAAAAAGAGTTGGATACTGAGATACGTCACGCTTCGGCAATAACACATCTACAAACAAAAATGTCTGAAAACAGCACTACGAATCCTTATTTAAATATTTTGACTGAAATTGAATCAAGTGGTACACAACTACAAATATTTAATGGCGAAGATGCTTCGGCTCTTGATGAATGGTCAATTAGGTTTAAAGATTATGTGGAGGTATTTGGTTCTAATTGGACTGAGGTTGAAAAACTAAATAGATTAAAATTTTACCTAGGTAAGACAGCAAGAAATATTTATGAAAACTTAGCACCTTCAGGGAAAAATACATTGCAAAATGCCTTAATAAATATTAGAATTAAATTAGATAGCCCATATATTCGTGAATTAGCATATAGTAAATTAGCTTCATGTTATCAAAGAAAAGGGGAATCAGTAGGTGAATTCATTAAGAGATTAATTCCGCTTGTTAATTCAACATCTTCGGATGTCACAAAAGAAGTAAAGGAAGAAACTCTCTGTAGATGTTTTATTGAGAAGGTCAGGCCGGAATACCAAAGGTCTTTACAATTAATTGCTCCATTGATTGGAAGGAAATGTTTTGACAAACTCGCAACGTATGTTCAAGAATTAGAAATAAATTTTAGAAGTACAGAAACTAGTGAAGAAAATATACAATTAATACAAGGAAATGAATCAAGTTGGATACAAAGTACTTCAAATAATACGCAGCAATATACTTATGAAAACAACGCTTCGGCAAGTACACCTAAATTTAGCTCTGAACATGAGCAATATGATTATGAACAACATGTAATTGAAAATAAGGACGATGAATACAAGGAATATGATTGCATTGAGGAGTTGAAAAACGAAATAGAACAAATGAAAGAAATGATTAATAACCTGTCTGAACAAATTAATGAATTGAAAATGGATGGAAATTATTAATGGACTTCAGTCAATTCTTAATTTTAGGCTTCGGCAATTTTGAATACCTTCGTATTAAGTTAAAGAATAATGGTATGAAACTGTAATGAAAGTGATAAGTTTAAATTACAATCTTAATAAAAATTAATGAAGAATGCTAACATTTAATTTTCCAGGTGACAACATATCAATGAACACAAACACAATGTATGTTCCTAGAATATGGACCCTGCAGACCAGACAAAAATTGCAATAAGATTCAACGTCTCAAAGAACATGCGTAATCTTGTATTATTGGGTAAAGTTGTGGTTTAAGTTTATTAAAAATACACAAAACAAAATCTAATATTCCTTTTTCATGTCAATGCGGTCCATTTGGTGGCAAATCAAAATTGGTGGACTGGAGATTAGATGACTTTGGCCTAGGCAATACAGACGAATTTTTGTTTAAAATTTTTTAAACTTTTTATCACATTCTTTTATTCACAAATACCCAATTTATTTAGTACCTGAGCTTTACCTACCTATATGACTTCCTAAAACCTAAATTATTAATTATTTAATCCCCAATAGGATATAAAAATTGCTTTGATACTAGAAAATAATCTTTCAAAAACAAGATATTCATCTCAACTGAGGTAATATCTTTATTTTTAATGGTTACTTTCTAATATTTGGCAAATTTTATAACTAAATTAAGATAAGGATTTAATAGTTGCTCTAAATCTGTATAAATAAGATGGAAAAACTGGAAAATATCTTTATTTTTCATAATATTTATACATAAATTTATAGCAAATATTAGTCCTACCAACCCTCACATTTATCAAACTATCCCTCAAGACAATCACAGAATGTTATTTTTATTATACTTAGGTATGCCCGAATGTTTTTTATTATTGTGAAATTTTTTAAGTATTAATTAGCTAGTCCAAATGCCCTCAAAACAAAGTGCTCTAAAGCTCAAATAGCAATATATTTTACTAAGTCAGATATTTCTTAAAGTTGCCAAAATCAAAAAAAGGAATTTAAAAGACTGGCAATTCACAAAATCAGCACTATTTAAATAAAGCAGAGGAAATGTCTTAAAAAAATAAAACAAACTGGGGACTTCGGTAAAAACCAGTTTGTAAGAAAATATTTTAGAAAAATAGAAATAAAAAAGACAGTCTGGAGGCCTCGGCAAAAACCAGTCTGTAAGATATATTTTAGGATCAAGGATGATCCTCTGCTAGAAAAGAGGTGATAAAAGAGCCAATAAAAAGTGGAACGCCAGTCAGATTTTTAGACATGAAAATCTTGGCAATTTTGGAAATGTTGGCTAAAGTTAATTTAAGACCAGGGACGGTCTTCCCTGAGGTTGGAGGTGTAAGGTGGACTCTAGACCCAAAGGCTAAAGAGCACTTTGATTAACACTTCCGTTAATATTACTTTCCCAGTAGATAGAGTTAGGCCTAACACTTATATTAGATAGAGTTAGGCCTAACACTTATATTATTTCCATCATTAATGTAATGTAATATTTCCTATGTGAATAAAGGCGCTTATCATACTAGCGGTAACATCTATGCCTCGGCAAGCCTGAGGATCTGATCAACCCTCAGAGCTTTACCGATTAAGGTGAAAGGTAACCCAGACTTAAGTCTTACTAAATACCCCTAATGGAAAGGCCCTAGCCAGCACGCTCCAATTGGCGTGCTGTGTTTCTATATTTACATTTATTTATTTATAGAGGATGTGCTTGTTCAATTAATGTTTGGGTAAAATTTTTGATTGAAATTATCGAGAGGCAGAGCCGACCTATTCCAATAATTTTTTATTGACACGTCTGGCACTTTTGTGGAAAATAACTATTGAACTAACGATTTATATCAGGGATCCTGCACTCATTCCCAAAAATTAACTAGAATCGGGAAGATCCGTCGTTTTTTGTGTCGGGAATCCCGATTCCATAAAATCAGTAATTTATTTTTTGTTGGCAACTACACTAAATAATTTATATGTATTTATGAATTTAGTTCAAAACCCCAACAATACCAGAATCACTAAAGCCAGAAATTACACCAAGGTTGGAGACAGGTTACAAAAATTGTTCTGCAAAATATCCTGATAATACTTATGAATTGGGAAATCTAAAGGACGAGGAAAAAATAATTAAATTTTCAATAAAGGCAATTAACAACGGAACTAGTGCCGCATTTGCATTTTTTAATGCTGCTGATATGTTTCTAGAAATAAATTTTAGGGGCAGAGAAATAATATTTTATTCATATATGGTAAGCTTTATGTTTCATTATCTCGAAAATACATATTATAAAAAAAATTGAGGGTATTTTAGTAACCAAAGTTCGGTTAACCGAAACCCGATTCGAAAATTACCGGGGTTTTGGTTCAGTTCAGATTGAAACTAACAACACTACTGATAGGTATTTGTTGTACTAGAATTTTGAGTTAACACACTTCAATCTTTAACGTTTTGTAAAATTGTTTTCTTGTAAAACTTCCGATAAACAAAAATTATTATTACTATTTATTTTCATTTTATTTTTAAAATCGCAATTTAGCATAACAAAATACCAAAGCCAATTAGCAAATTTATCGGTAGCAATTTGCTAGATTTTGGAACATCAATAGACTTAACTATTCGAATAAGCAATTATTATGTTTGGATATTATTTGAAAGCAATGTTTTCGTAAAATTTATCAGAAAATTATGGCCAGACGATTGGTGGAATGGAAAATTTTTAAATAAAACTGAACTAAAAATTTTAATTAGTGGTGATTTTATTTTAGCTGCCCCTATATTTATTAGAGTGATTGATGAGCAAAGCTTGGATGTAAGAAGTTTTTAAAAATTTTACTTAAAATCCTAGATAAAATGCCATTCTTTAATCTTTCTGTATCGATATTCTATAGGTTAAATGATTGTACATATTTTCTAATAATTTAATTATGTAATACCATATTTTCTCGATTAATTCCCCTCCCTCGAATAATTCCCCCTCTCGATTAATTCCCCTCCCTCGAATAATTCCCCCTCTCGATTAATTCCCCTCCCTCGAATAATTCCCCCTCTCGATTAATTCCCCTCCCTCGAATAATTCCCCCTCTCGATTAATTCCCCTCCCTCGAATAATTCCCCCTCTCGATTAATTCCCCTCCCTCGAATAATTCCCCCTCTCGATTAATTCCCCTCCCTCGAATAATTCCCCCTCTCGATTAATTCCCCATGCTAGAGTTGGGTTGAAACAATAATTCCCCACCCCCAAATATCCCACTGCAAGTTCAAATGCCAAAACTCGAATAATTCCCCTCCCTCGACCCCATGCCAAGGAAGTGTTGAAAAAATAATTCCCCAAGGAATTAATCGAGAAAATACGGGTATTTAAACTTTAATAATATTTAGCATTACAATAAAATGTTTGGTGTCATTCAAATGCCATATTCAGAAAAAATTAGAGAGACTACTAGCAATGAAATATTTTTTCGTTTTCATTTTAAAATAAACAATGAAGCAACGAAATTTAGTATAAAATTATTTAATGGCTTAGAAGAAAATCCTTACAGTAATTTTTGAAAAAATATCTAATTTTCAGTAACATTATTTTAAGTTGGAACAATTGTTTATAGTTTCGATGTTTCCGATAATTTAACAAATGTTGCAATTAAAACAGGAGACGTAAGTACTAAATATGTTTTAGTTATAGTTATTATTCGGCAGTGGTTGGCAAAATTAAATATAAAAAAATTTTTCGTAAAGTATACGAAAATTAAAGATTAGTTTTTATGTTTATTCACTTATATGTAGTAATAACGAGTGTTAGTTAGTATTGTTTAAAAATTTTCATATCACCGAACTTTCAAAAATTGAAATAAATAAATTTAAGTGCTCTAATTATTATTCTGAATGTATTAAAGCGAAGGGATATTTGAATGATGAATGTTATATATTTAAATGTAAAAAGTTTCCTTCAAGAATATTTGAAAAGGGGAAAATATTCGAACTTCTTTTGTATGTTGTTAGTACAAGAAAGCTAGAATATAGAAATAATAAACTCGTTTTTAAACATACCTCAGTAATTGACGCATTTATTGATAAAAAATTCATGGAAAAATTTACAATAGAAAGTGACTTTCAAATCTGGACAATTAATAAAATATTGGTGATTCTAAATTTTTTTAAATCCATTTTTCTTTGTTACAAAGCTAAATTTTAGCTCATTAACATTTTTTCATTTCGGAGACTCTGTTAAGAATTCCTTTAGTTCAATATTTAAAAATTTCAGGAAACATGTCTGTTCGAAATTAATCTTATAAGTAGGGAGTGGCAAAACATGCAAATGCATATTTTGTATGCGGATATGCCATGAGCTAAAACGCTCAAAAATGTTGTTTTTACGTCTGTACGAACATTAGGGACTGAGTTCCTATAGCATATTTTTGCATATTTTGGTACTTTTGTGCATATTTGCATATCGATGCATATTTTTGGAAATTTTGCATGTTTTTACCTAAATTTGTGCATATTTTGGCATTTTTGAGAAATTTTAGTAAAAATCGGGCAAATTTTTCAAAATTCTGGAATTTTTTGAGCAAAAAATTTTTTGGGAAAAATTTCTTTCAAAAAAAATTTTTTAGTTGAATTTTAAGTTAATAAAATCTTCCAAAAGTGCTTTTAAATCTAAAAATTGATCTAAAAATTGAAATATTAATCTAAAAATTGAAATATTAATTTTTAAAGCACATTTTTATTATTTTTGCTGCATATTTAGTGCATATTTCGCAAATTTAGGCATATTTTGGGCTTTTTCGGTGCATATATATGCGCATATTTTTGGATTTTTCGTGCATATTTTGCCGCTCCCTACTTATAAGCTATCACTAAAGGTCATAACTCCTATATTCAAAAATCTTAAGGAATACAATTAAAATAATCAAGGATCAGTAGGGTTCTTCAAAACCGAGGATTTTTCGTTTCTTATCCTAGCTTCGGTACTAGATATCCGAAGACTTTTCTTGAACTAACAATCCTCTAAGGGATTATACTAATAAACTCTCCCCAAATAATTTGCTATTCATACCCTGTAAATGCTTCTTAAATCCTTCGCTCCATTAGGAACGGCAGGGATCATTCCTGATATGTATCTGTCAGACATTTAATAAACATAGATTTTAGCTAGATGGTGATATTCAGCTTCTGTATTATCTCTATTATTATGGTAAACAGGAAAAAGTACCAGATTTGCGTTATCGAAAAGAGACTAATGAATTGAAAATAAATGGAAGTATCGTTTGTTTTGAGGCTTTGGTATCGAGTGGTAGTGAAATGGAGTATAAACCATATTTTATGGTACGATTAATTCACGATCCTCAAATTGTTAATAAACTTGGTTGGATTTTTAATCAATCCATTAAATATTTTCCAATTTAATAAGATGTTGACCTTGTGATGGAAATAAAGTTTTACTTTGATCCTGACAAAAATACTGGGGAAGATGAAGAACATTTTACTTTTAGCCGTTCGCGCATAATTATAGAAAGCTATAGCTCTAAAAAAAGAATTCGTCAAAATCAAAAACTTTATAAAAATCCAATTGGAGCTGGTATGCCTATAGTTGTGTTAATTATAGCGTCAGGAAGTCAATACATCATTAATATTAACGGAGGTGATAACATTTACTATCAGCATAAGGAATTTCCTCATTGGTCAACGAATCGTGTTGAGGTATGTACATATATTTCTTTACAACCTGCCAAAAACTTTAAAAAATTCTGTTTTTATTAAAATGTTTCGTTTTCGATTTTTTTAAATTTAAACTACAAAGCTACACATTTTGAATTCGTTTTTTTAAAATGGCTAGCCATCGGATGAGGGAAACTATACCTCCAATTTAAAACCCACCTCAATTTTACATAAGCTTTTCTATATAAAATTGAGAGAGGACATATTGTAAGTATATTTAACAAAGGTTTGAAATAACAACAACCGAAAAATCCTGTCGAGCTTTTACAAAGCGTCTGAAGGGTTGAGACATATAATGGAATGCCAAAATCAGAAAGATCTCATTTAATATTTTACAGATAACAGGCTATATTAATAACGTATTATTTGATGAAAATTCTGATAAATGTCAAAAGCTAACAAAAAATATTTCTGAAGCTAAATTGGATGAAAAAACTAAAAGAGTGATAAAACAATTAAATAGTACAAGCGAAGTTATTATTAGTGGGAAAACTCCAGATATATTTAACAAAAATATTTCTGTTAATTTTCTCCATGCGGCTCTTGAATGGAATGACACAAGTTTGAGTTTAAATATTTTAAGTATTAAAGCGTTGAGCGGATTTTTAGTTAAATGAAGTTTCTTTCTGCGACCTTTATATAAAATAAAACTTAAAAAACATGTTTTTAGTGTGATACAAATTAGTCTATTTTTTGGTAATGACAACTTTCCTTTCGATGATAATTATTTTACTTTAGAAATTTTCTAAAGTTATTTAATTTGTGTGTTATACAAGAGGTGGGTCGGAATAGTCAGAGGTGTCGGAAATTTTTCCAAAATTTCGGAAATCGGAATTTCGACCCACCTATGGTGTATACTTGTGTCATTGTTCCTAAGTATTCGTTAATTTTTTATTTAATTTAGTAGGTAACACAGTCTTTCAAATGAAGATTACAAGAGAATCTGTTTGTATAGATTCATATACGGTAGCTAATTTAAAATTAATTTTATTAAATTAATATTTAAAAGAATGGAGACTGGATTAAATTAAAAAGAAAAGAAGCTAATATATGCTCTAAACATCAAAATTTAAAGAAAAATGAACTGATAAAATTAACTTTAACTTTTAAAAATTCCTCACTTTGGTATATATTAGAAACAAAAGAAAATGAATTTGAAAATAATGTTGCTTTGGATATACCTGTATCCTTAACCGAATATATTAATGTGAGGATATGTTTTTAAACCCTATTTATGAGACTGAAAGTTTTCAAGATAAAGGACCGATATTAAATACTTATAATAAAACAAAGGACAATCCTTGAGTGTAAAGAACCAAGAACAGACTTTTGGGAGAGTTATACGGAAATCGAGATTTATTATCTAAAAATCTCGGTCTCAATACCAATATTTTTGTATTGCTTATTCCAATAGCTTTATTCCAATAGTTCGAATAAAGCTTATTTATTTTAAATTTATACAAATTCAGGTTGACAACTTGATTAAGGATGTAGATGAATTAATATCAATAAAATATGAATAAAATGTATTTTTAAATATTGAGAGGCTAATATGTATGAAGGAATTTTTTGAGGAACTTCAGGAAACAATTTCTATAAATTATATTTTTGACCTCGAATTATTTATTTCTTCATAATTTAAATAAATTTTTATATAATCTCTTCGTTTAAATGGCTGTTTCTATAGATAAGTTGAAAATTTAAAAAAAAACTAACTCAATCCAACATTTTAATCTAATTTTTTATAAGTATGTAAAAATAAAGAAGACATGATGTTTCTTTTAAAGAACAAAAAATTAAATTATTTACATATTTATGGAAAGAAAAACACGAAAATTCATTCTTCTCATACTAAGACTCATCTTCTTGAGTTTCATGTTCCTTTTCCTCCTCTTCATTTTTATCTTCAGTATCTTCAGTTTTCGACTGTTCTTCTTTGGTTTCGCCTTCAGTTGTTGTTGCAGAATCCTCCGCCGTCTTTGCAGTCGCCTCTACCTTCTCTTTTGCTTTATTATCGCCCTCTTCATCCTTCCTTTGATTATTTTCCTTGAGATCTTCCTTCTTTTCTTTTACTTCAACATATTCCTTCTGTTCTTCCTTGACATTTTCCTTCATTTGATCTTCTCCTTTGACATCTTTTTCCTTTGCTTCTACTTCAGCATCTTCCTTCTTTTGATATTCTCTTTCGACATTTTCCTTCTTTTGTTCATCTTTTTTGGCATCTTCATTTTTTTCTTCTTCTGTGAAATGTTCCTTTTTTTGATCATTTCCTTTGACATCATCCTTGTTCTCTTCTACTTTTTCATCTTCCTTCTTTTGAACTTCTTCTTTAGTATTATCATTCTTCTCTCCTATGATATCTTCCTCCTTTTGATCCTCTCCTTTAACTTCTCCTTTAGTCACATCACTTGCCTCAACATCTTTCTCCTCCATGTCAGAGCCCTTATTAAAGGCGAAGAAGTAGACAGCAATTCCAATCCCAATAACAGCCAGAATAACAACAATAATCACAAAAAACAGAAAGCCTGAGGAGCCTTTGGAGGTAGTAGTCATTGTTGTTGTAGCTTTTGTAATTGTAGTTGTTAAAGAGAATACAGATGTCAAAGTTTCAGTTATTTCTGGTGCCTTCTCAGACGATGAGTATGTTCTATCATTAATGCTAGGAGAAGTCGATGTAGATGTATTTTCTCTATTAATTGTAGTCTTTCTTTCCTCTTGAGTTGGTTTCAACGTTGAAGTGCCAGGTGTTGGAGTAGTCAACAATTTGTAGTTATCTCTAGACTAAAGAGAATATTTCATCAATTGAATATACAGAAATTATCACTTACAAATATAATCCTCAAATCATCGCATTTTGGACCTTCTGGGTGTTCTTTTCTCACAACATATTCATGTAATCCAGTAAGATTATTTTTCACCAACATCCACTTCCGCGATGCCTTTTGTGGAAGAAGATGAAAAACCAACAATCGATTCATTGTAGGCTCTGGACTCGTACCAACAATTTCCCATGTTGAAGGCGGGAGAATGTTTTCTTTGGGATTTTTGATGCAGTTAGATGGTTGGGGATTTCTGTCATTGTATTCCTCTAAAGATTCGATGTGAAATTTAGGAACTGTTTGTTTGATGTGTGTTTGATTAAAATACACATATGTGCTGTTCAAGTTCCATTCTCTACGAAGATAGTAAACCAATTTCGTGCCAACTAAAATAAGTTAAGTATAATTTAATATGTACAATGCAGATATTTACTTGGATTTGCATAAAGCACAACATTTTCTTTGCCTCCAAATGCCCATCTAACTTCTAGCCCTGTCTTTTCGACACATCCCTCATCACATCGGCATGGATCATCCGCGAAAAGTGGGCCATTGTGGAATTTCTTGACTTCCTCATTTGTCAGACTGTAGGCAAACGGCAGTCTACAAAATAATAATTTTATTAGAGAAATCCAATTAAAATATTGTATTTTATTCCTTAACAGCTACACTTACACGTTTGAATTTATGTCACTTCCATTCAGACAAGCATCAAGGCCTCCTAGATTATGCACACCAGTCCAGAAAACAATCTCGTGCCTCTTATTGGTTAGAAGATCCATTGTACACCCTTTATCCTTTGTCGCCTCTAGATTTGTGTAGTGGAGAACGCTGTGAAATAATTCGAAATTTAATAAAATAAAAGAAATTCTAACTCACATATTCCCCTCGTCATCAAAATCAACATTGCAAGCATTAACAGAACTCGTCAAGTACTCCTCAACGTCTTCTTTATAAACAATCATAGATCCGTTAGCAAGCGTCACCTCTCTATCTTGAAGAATGTGATCTCCAAGACCAACTTTGAAGGAGGGCTTAATTGTCGATATCTTCGTTGATTTTTGCCCATTATTGTCTCTGATGGTTGTAGTTGTTGTTATAGAGATATTTCCATCTGTTGGATCTTTTGTTGTCGAAGTGATATTATGAGATACGGAAATGGCCAGCAATCTGTAGTTACTCTTAGGCTAAAAACGAGAATGTTAGAGCCATTAAAAAAAGGTTATTCACTTACAAATATCATTATCATATCATCGCATTTTGGTCCTGTTGGGCGTTGTCTTATCACAACATATGCAATGAACCCATTAAAAGGATTTTCCATCATGCGCCTTTTTCGTGATGCTTTTTGTGGAAGAAGATGAAAAACCAACAAACGATTCATTTTAGGCTCTGGACTCGTACCAACAATTTCCCATGTTGAAGGCGAGAGAATGTTTTCTTTGGGATTTTCGATGCAGTTAGATGGTTGAGTATATCTGTACTCTGTCCCGTTGTTTGAAAATTTGATGTGAAATTTAGGGCCTTTTTGGTTTATTACTAAACTTTGTTTCAATTCCACAAATTGTTCTCTCATGTCCCTTTTAATGCCAGCATAATAAACCATTTTTGTGGCAACTAAAATAAACATAGTCAATAATTTAATTACGCACAGATATCTTACTTGGATTTACATAAATCACAGCATATTCCTTGCTTCCAACTTTATCACGTGCCCATCTAACTTCTAGACCTGTCTTTTCGACACACCCCTCCATACAACTATCGCATGAAACATTAGCGAAACGCGGGCCATTGTGGAATTCCTTGACTTCCTCATTTGTCAGACTGTAGGCAAAAGGCAGTCTACAAAATAATTAGATTAGTGTTCAAATTTTATTGCCAAACGGCTAAACCTACACATTTGAATTGATGCTACTCTTTACCATACAAGAACCGAGCCCTTTAAAATCGTGCAATCTAGTCCAGAAAACAATCTCGTCCACCTTATCGGTTAGAAGATCCACAGTACAACCTTTATACCTCGCCCTAGCTTCTTTTCGGTAGTGGAGAATGCTGTAAAAACAGGGAATATTCTAATAAAAAGATCATGACTTACATATTCCCGTTAACGTCAAAATTAACATCGCAAGCATCGGCAGAACTCGCCTTGTACCGTTCAATGTCCTCATTATTGGTAATAACCCTCGAGCCTGCCGCAAGCGTCACCTTTCCTTCTTGCAGGATGTGATTCCCCAGGCCGACATTGTTTGCTCCTGTGATGTTTAACTGCCCATGTAATTGTAGAACAACAATGAAGAAAGCCGCGATGTTTGCGAACATTGTTTGCTTTTTGTTCGATTTGTTGTTGTTGAAGATAGAAAACAACATTGTTAGTGGCTTTCCTAACACAAATTCTGTTATTAACGGTTTCCGATGATTGTAACGAAATGGAATTTTTGTAATGGAGTGATTATGTATATACAAATTATATTCTGGTTTTTATATGTACATATGTATGTAGTACATACTTTTTTCTGCCATTAGGACTTGGTTTAAGTTGCTTTTGCATATACTCTGTTGATTTTAAATTACAAGAAAACATTGGTAGCTTGGTAACTACTCACATTTGATAATCAAACACACCCAAAACCTTGTTTTAGCTTGAAACCTGAAATTTTAACAAACCGAAAGATTTAAAATTGGTGAAGCCATGAACATGTTTGATTGAAACTTGGGTTAAACATTTAAAAAAATTAGTTTAAAATAAGAGAAGGAAAACAAAAAGAACCGCCTCGTTCTCAATTTCTGTAAAAATTAAGTGGCTAATATGCAGAAGAAAAGAGAAACAAGAGGGCCGTCTTAGAAAAAAATTCTCTTAATTGTTCCCTTCTCAACTTAATCTAAAAAATTAACCTTTCTTTTCCTAAAATTAATAAAAAACATTAAAAGACCAAGTTTATATAAAAATTAAAATATAATTAGTGATCATATTTCAGAATTTTTTTTCACGCGATCCTAGTTCAAAAATTCAAAATATGATCACCATACAATACCTTGAAAAAAAATATTAAAATTAAACTTATTTTCCAAATTTTTTTTTCATTTTTTTTATTTATTTTCCAACATCTTTTCATCAGCTGTTAAAATTTTTTCATTCGCTGTTATTTGATCTTCTTTCTCTTCCTCCTCCATTTTTTCTTCTTTTACTTCCTCCTCCTCTTCAGATTTCTTTCCCTTCTTTTTATCTTTTTCTTCCTTTTCATTTGATTTATATTCAAGCTTAATTAGACTCGAAAATTTGGGTTGTATCCCATTAAATTTTGCAGATGTAATTGGCGTTACAAATGGTCCAGGAGGAGGAAGGGGGCTCTGACCAGCAGTAGCTTCTGCATCCTTAGTTGTGAGCCGATTAAGAATTCTAAATTTTTGGATTTTTAGAATTTATAAAATTAAATTTAAAATTAATTTTAAAATAAAACTTACGCTCTTTCAGTCATTCCTAATCGTTCAGTTACTGGTCGAAGTCGTGCAAGTGTTGTTGGAAGTCGAGAAACATCTTTAAAAATAAAAATAATTTAAAGAATTTAAAAACTTTTTTTAATAATTTGGCTACTTAAAATGTTATTTTAAGCGAATAACCCTTAAAGGAACATAAAAAAACCCTTACCGCTTTTCATATCATTCATCAAATCCTCCAATTGGGTTAGGACTTTATGTAGAACTGTGTAGGCATTTTTGTCACCCTTCAGAGCATCACGCGACAGAGATTCATGTGCTGTTGCCAAGCATTCCAAATCAGCAAATCTTTCGCTTAACTGGCCTAAAATAATTTAATAAAATTTTTAAAAAGATAAAAAATGTTAATTTTCCGTTATAATCCCACAAATCTTTAGCTGCACTTTAGCTGATTTTGGTGTTATCGAATGAGCTATCATTTATATATTCGAATTTTTTACCACAAACATTTACTCCAAAAATAAGCATATAGGTTCCAAATTTTCACGGACCTATATCTCGATCAACAGGAATTTCCAATAATAAAAAGTGACACCATTCGACTATTGTCAGACCGATGATACGAATCAAAAGATAATAAATCGAGTGACCTTGGAACCGGCCACTGGCTAATTTACAGCCAAAGAATTTGTGGACATATATAACGGAAAAGTACCAAAAAATTACAAAAATAAAAAAAATGAGAATATTTACCAGAATTATCTGCTACCGATTGGCTTGCCAAAACAGGATCCTGTCCAATAGCTATTGCCTTCTCTGCTGCATCTTTTTGCATATGTTGTTCTTCAGTTTTTTGAGTTATTTGTAAATATGCTGCACGACGTAATTGTTCTTCTATTATTAAAGCTTGTTCGACTAACTGAAAAATATTTAATTTAAAAAAAAATCAACTAATTTTCTTTTAAAATTTTTCTTCAAATTTCACTACGAATATTTAATTTCAAAAAATTAAAAAAAACCTTATAACGTCTTTGCAAAAACTTGTTTTTATATTCGGCAAAATTTCCTCCTTTAGATTGTTCTAATTTGAAAGGTTCATTAATTATTGAAAATCGGTTGTCGTTTTGAATATCTTGATAACGACCATAGCCATGCCTAATTTAAAAAATTAATTTCTGACAAATAAACAACAAATATTACATAACAATTCCACAAAGTAACCAATAATCATGTCGTCGATTCCAAATTTCATATTCTTTTCCCGGAACAGCAACATTTTCTTCATTAAGCCAGAGAGTGTGGAGTTCAGTAAAACCACCATCAGCAATATTGAACATAATTTTTGGACGTGGTTCTTTGGATTTTTGTTCGGTCTGTAAAGAGAAGTGTTGAATAAAGGGAAAGGATTTTGTTTTAATAAATTTTTTGAATTTTTTAAAATTTCAAAATATAAATCAATTTTCAAACAAATAAAGAAAACCTCTTCATCATTCTTCTTTTCCTCATCTTTATCAGCATCAGCTTTTTTAGGTGAAGAATCTGCCGCTGCAGTCTGAGTATCTCCTCCAGTAAGTTCAGCTGCTGCATCAATCATTTCAACTTCTTGAGGTTCGGCATTCTTTTTAAGATCATCCTTAATTGTTTTATTTATATTCAAAATATTTTTTTGAAATACTATAGCTGGAGTTAGATCTCGACTAGCATCACTATGCACACTTAATTCTTTCTCCTTGCGTTGTACAGTCAAATGATCTTTATCTTTTTCCCGTTCTTTATTTGCAGCCTCAGCAGCAGCCAACATTTGGGTTTGAACCTTAGAAATATATTTTAAAAACTTTTTAAAATTCAAAAAACCTCAGGTATAGACCATTCACCATTAACAGCTTCAAATTCCTGAACCTTTTTGCGTATTAGTGACATGATACCAATTCGAGTTAAAACTTGCACACGATTCAAGCCTTCACGTGGGACGCCATCATTAAAACACTCCTTAAAACAAAAACAAGATATTACTATGTCATAATTTCATGGTCAAAAAAAACAATCAATGACTGAAAGATTCTTCTTTAATTTCTGTTGACTATTTTAAAAAATTAACTAAACGCCACCAAAAATTTTCAAATTTAATAATTTGTGGGGAGGCAGGAAAATCCCCTGTTAGAATAAAATTTTCAAAGTGTTAAAATTTCTCACCTGAGAATCAGCTCCAGGCTCACAAAGATGCCGCATAAACAAAGAAGTATAAGCTTTAAAGGCCCTTTCAGATTTGCCTTTAAGATCACGAACTAGCCACTGTGATTGATAGGCATCATGAGGCGGCATTCCCCATCGCATTACTGCATTAAAGAAAGCTCTTCGTTGTCTTGGATTGAAGCCAAGAACTTCCAATTGTCCATTTACACGTGCCAATAAAGGAGGTAATTTTTCACCGTCGCGTTCACGTTTTCGCCGACGCTCTTCTCTAGCAGAATCAAAATCGTCTTCTCCACTTCCAGAACCGTCATGGTCAGAAACACCAGAAAACGAGTCTGAATAGTCTTGATCTCCTCCCGCAGGTGTTCCAGCTGATCCTGGCTGCCATTCTTGTTGTATTGCTTCTGTTGCATAATTAACTTGTTTGCGAACTCTTTTTCCTTTTCCGAGATGAGCTCTTTCAAGTTCCTGTTCTTGCTCAAAGTGATGTCTTAATAACTTCTCCCAATAGTCTGGATCAGCTTCTTGTACTGCTTCTTTAATTACTTCCGTTTCGTCTTCTTCTTCAGGCTCATCCTCCTTTGTTATATATGTTGCTACTTTGAACGAACTCAAATAATCGTTTGCCCAATCTTTTCTTTCGGGTTCGTCTGGTGCAGCTGCAGCAACTTCTTTTGTTTCATCCTCTGCTCGTTCAAGAAGTTTATCGACAGCATCATCATCCCAAACAATATTTTGCTCTGTTGATTTTCCTGCTCCGTCGCCTTGTTGTGCTTCTTCATCTTTGAATAATTCTTCAGTTCCCCAACGAAGAACATCATCCAACTCTGTCTTTGACATTGAAGGGCCTTTTTGACCTATTCCAGCACGAACAACAAGGTGGGTGAGCTAAAGATTATTTCTTGTAAGCTTTTAAAAATTAAAAAATTCAAACCATCATTTTCTTTTTTGCAACAGATGTTATACGTTCCTCCACAGAGTTGCGAGTTACAAACCGGTAAATCATTACTTTACGCTGCTGGCCAATTCGATGAGCTCTGCTAAATGCCTGAAATATTTGCGAAAATGGATCTATTATTTTAATAACTAAAAATTAACCTGAATGTCGTTGTGTGGATTCCAATCCGAATCATAAATAACCACAGTATCTGCAGTTGCCAAATTAATTCCTAAACCTCCAGCACGTGTTGATAAAAGAAAAACAAATTGTTGTGCACCAGCAGCATTAAAACGGTCAATAGCATCTTGACGACTTTGCCCGGTGATTGAACCATCAATTCTCTCATATTTATAACCAAGAAAATCCATCATATCTTCGAGAATGTCCAACTAAATTTTAAAAATAAATAATATTCAAAAAATGTTAAAAACCATTTTTGTCATTTGAGAAAAGATGAGTACACGATGTCCTTGTTCCTTCAAACGCTTCAACATTTTTTGTAAAAGAACAAATTTTCCACTATTTTTGATGAGTGCTTCTCCTTCATAAGCGCCAGTTGGACGTTTCGGTGCTTCTGAAAAAGAATTAAAATTAATGTTAGAAATTATGATAAAAATCAAACCAATTGATGCCTTCGGGAAAAGATATGGATGATTTGCACATTTTTTCAATTCCATCTAAAATGAGAATATTTCTAAAAAGAAAGATTTTTGCTAGATTTTATTTGTCTTAATTCTATTCATAAATAAAAAATATTAACTTCACATTGTCGTTAAAGATAAACCCTCACTGACAATTATAATATAAAGTTTGCAATTAACCATGATAAAACGAGAAATCAAACTTACAATGATGTTCAACAGTGACATTTGTGACCGTCCATTTTTAATGCTGAGGGCCTCAAAGTTCTTTGTAAGAATGTGTCGATAATATTTCCTGTTAGAAAAAATAAAATCAAAATAATCAAAAAAAATTTCTCACTTTTGTAAAGGACTTAATTCAACACGAACAATTAATTCGCTTTTTGAAGGCATTCCAGTAAGGACATCAGCTTTGAGACGTCGTAACATATGTGGACCGAGAAGTTGATGTAAACGTTGAATTTGGTCTTCTTTTGAAATTTCAGCAAATTCATGAGTAAAGGATTCCAAATCACTAAATTTCAAGAAAAATTTGAAAAATTAATATTTTAACATAAGTTAAACACAAAGGATTAAAATTTGAATAAAATTAGAAATAAAAATCTAAATCTAGGTAAACGGACTATTTCAAAAATCACTGGTATTAATCAAGAAAATAAATTTAAAAAACTAACTAGAATCGATCAGGGCTCAAAAAATTTAATAAATGGAACAATTCTTCCAAATTATTTTGTAGTGGAGTCCCTGTAAGCAAAAGACGATATCCAATATTAAACTCTCGAAGTGTTCTAAAGAACAATGATTGATTGTTTTTGAGACGATGGGCTTCATCCACAACAAGAACAGCCCAATCAATACTTGAGAGTATTGCTTTGTCAATATTTATTAACTGAAAAATCGAGGGAACGATAAAAATATTTAAAAGCAAAATAATTAACACCTCATAAGAAGTCAATAAAACATGGAATTTAATGCCTTGGTCTGTCCTCATCCTTCCAGCTTTTGTCCCGCCTCTTGTGGCCCCTTCAACAAAAGAGAATTCATGCTCCCTAAAAAAAGATTTTTAATTCTTTTAATTTTTAAATAAAGAAAAACCTTATAACAGTTCGACTGTCCTTGTCTCCAATATAAGTAACAACATAAAGATCAGGAGACCAAAATTCAGCTTCACGTTCCCAATTGATTAATGTAGAGAGAGGAGCTGATACAAGAAATGGCCCTTTGCTATGTCCTTCTTTGACAAGTGAATAAAGAAAAACCATCGACTGAAATTTTTTAATAAATTTTAAAAATTAACAAAAAATAAACATTTTAAGGGAAATAAAATTAAGACAAATAATCCAAAAAATAATAATTTTAATTTAAAACAAACCTGAATTGTTTTTCCCAACCCCATTTCATCAGCCAAAATTGCATCTATTCCATTTGACCAACAATGACGAAGCCAATTAATTCCTTCCATTTGATAGGCATGAAGATTGCCTCCTGTTTCGTTTACATATTCTGGCTGAGCTTCGTATTTCTTTTTTATCTTAAAAAGATTTTTTATTCAATTTAAACCAAAATATTTTAAGATTTTCTTACAAGAGACCAAAATTTAAAATAAATTACTTACATCGGTGCTCGGTTTATTTTCCCGCTTTTTACGCTTCTTCTCTTCATCTTCAAATGGAGGCAATCCTTGTTCAGCCCTTCTTTTATTTAATCTCTTTAAAATATATTTAGGCATTGTTTCCCCACTCATTCGTTCACTTAAAAATTATTTAAATTAATTTTTAAAAATTAAAACAAAATTACCGATGCACCCAATAGCGAAATATTGCATCTTCATACCCAGGAATATCAAAATCATCACGTTCCCATGTTGCTTGATCATATACCAATTCACGCCATTTAACCAAATAGTCGTATTGATTCTTCTCATAAGCCATGTGGTTAATTATGCGATGAACCTTAAAAAAGTTTATTTTTAAAAGAATTTTAAAAAATTTAGATGATGGAGCTGGTCCCTTCTTTTATTTTTTAAGTATATTAACCTGCATCCATTCAGGTTTGATTCCATAACGATAAAATTTCTGTTCCATATTATGCGGATCATCTTCCTAAACATATTAATTAAACATTAAAAATTTAATATAAAAACCTTTTCTTTATCATCTATTCTACCAGTTCGCATATCTTCAGTAGAGCCATCATCAACTTCAGGAGGGACTTCAGGATCCATTTTTCGCCAATACATACGTAGAGTTTGGGTGAAATGTAGTTCCAAAACTAATTCTTGAATCCATTCACAATGCCTAAAAAACAAATTTTTAAATGATTTTTTAAAATGATAAGAAAATACAGAAAACAATTGTCTACAGAATCACGGTTTGCCATGAATGCGGTTTGGTATAAATGCCAAAAATGGATGGGTCAAGAAGCTGTCTTAACAACAGGAATGGAAAAAATTCGAATAACATATAATTTGACACATTTTCGTCCTGTTTAGTATTCCTGAATTTTTCCGAAACGACATGTAGTCGTAAGCTTTCTTGTGCTCACAATCAAACGATAAGTAGAAACCCAATCCTTACCCAGAATCACCATTCTAAAAATAATTTAGAATATCAAAGTAAATACCAATAGCTCATATATTTCCATTTGACGAAAAATTCGCGCTCACGACGAGGCTTCATCTCTTTTTGAGGTCTTAAGAAACTAATCTTTCGTCGTTCAGGATCGTCGATATTCGCAGCATTTTCTCCTTCTTTAAGACGATCTTCTTCGGGTAACGGCTCTGGGTAAGCATATTCAATCCAACGCCAACTCAGCAATTTTTCAGGACGATTTTTTGGTTCAACACACTAAAATAATGTAGAAATAGACTATTGAACTAAAACATAAATTGTGAAAAAACGAAACCTGACAACGCGGACATATCCAATCTTCATGCTCATTTGGCAATTCTTTCAGTGGAGGTGACAAACAATAAGCATGGTACGAGCTTGGGCAGCGTTCACAAGTCAATAGAAAATCGCGTTCCTAAATATTTAAAGTCAAATAAAATTTAAAAATCCAAAAAACTCACAGAACAAACTCTACAAGTATCCATATTCCCTGGAGTCGCATCCGCTGCTGCCTCATCTCTTGAAGGAGGTCCATTTTGCTCACAATGTGGACAAGACCAGAATCCTTCTGGAGGTTCCTCCAAGTCTTGATCATAGCAGACCAAGTGGTAAGCACGTGGGCAAGTGTCACAAAGGATTATTTCACCTCCTTGTTGACATACTTCACAATAATCTTGGTGTTCTTGCTGAAGATTCATTTTTTATTAAAAAATTCTAAAATTGAAAGATCAGGCTCTATATGAAATGAGTAACGAGATCGCATTTTCCCTTACTTTCACATATGGTCATTTTTCCTTAGTTTGTAATGTCTGTTGATTTTAGCCAAAAGCCGAAAATGGAAAAAGGGGAAAAATGAATAAAATGGATACACAAAAATATCAAAGACAGTATTTCCCTTTTACTTATTTCACAGTGTGTGTACTCTTTTATTTGCAATAGGTTTACTTATTCCAGAAATTTTGTTGGGAAGGAATAAGGAACTTTATTCACCCAGTTAACGGATTTTAAAGTTTAAAATGTAGAGCTTGGTATTGATTCCATAGGGACTGATACTTTTTCCATTTTAGTTGAAATAAACAGAAGGTACCAAAAACAGAAGGTTCTTTTTGAGTAACTAAATCTACAACGAAATCGAAAAAAATCAATTCATTTTCAAAAATCGATCCAAAAATCGATCCTTTTGGCCAATTCGAGTCGGTCCAAGTCCCGTCACACATTTCATATAGAGTCAAAAAACCTGTGGATTATCTCCATCTTCCCCTCCTTCGCCTTCCTCCTTTCGCCGTTTAACTTTTTGTTTCGATTCTTTAGCCTTCCTAGCTGCGGCACGTTCCTTTTTTCGTTCCTCCTTTGCTCTTTCCTCCTCATCCAATTGCCGTTCATGTTCTTTTAGAAGAGATTCAAATTCTTGATCAGAGTTAACTGAAAATTCAGAAAAGTAAAAACATTTCTAAAAATCAAAATCACTCACGTTCTTCTTCAGAATCGTCATTTCTTCGCTTCTTTCTCGTTGAAAGGCGAATTTTCAAAGGAGCAACCTTCTCAACTTTATCAAATTGTCCAGAAGAACCAGCACCAGATGAAGTTGGTTGCAAATCCTTAGAAGATGCTGGAGTTGAAGTAGATCCAGGAATTCGGCCAACTTTCTTACTAGCTAATTGTCTACCACGTCCAGTTAGCATGTTCTGAAAATTTAAATATAATTTAAATACAGGATTTAATTATTCCTGAATTTTATAGTTACAACAAATTTTAATCTTGGGTTTATTAAATAGGACACCCGGTCACAAAAATATTTAATACCCTCCTTGCGATTCCACATTGTGGGTTCCTCGAAAAACAAGTCACCTAATAAACTTTTCGGCTATATCTGATTTGTAAGACCAAGCTAAATTTCTACAATTTTCAGCGCTGCAGGCGACAACTTAGGGGATTGTAGGTGAAAAAATTGGCAATCCAGGAGAATTGGGGTCCCAGCGGGAAAAAATCTTAAAAATAAGAAAAATGATTTTTCTAGGGTAAAAAAGTACGCTGATTACGAATCTGAACTCAGATTTTGAAAAAGTCGAATCCGAACCCGAATATAGGTCCTCGAATATCGAAAACCCATAGGGGGGACCAAGCTGATTTGGGGTGAAAAATTCGAATATGCAAATTATACCTCATTCGAAAGAGCTCTTCAAGCTGAGTCGAATGACACCGAAATTACCGTGATTGAACAAGATCGGACGAAGTTATACCACAAAAAACAAACAACGTAGGCCTATGTTTTTTGTGTAATATCTTCGCCTGATCTTGATCAATTGCAATGATTTTGATGTCATTCGACTCAGCTCGTCTAGCTCTTTCGAATGAGATATTATTTGACCAATTTACGCTCTGTTTATTTTTCGAAATTTATCCCAAAATGTCAAATATCCGAATTTCGGGTTCGGGACTCCTTTCAGATAGGGCCAACTTTTCAGATTAATCAAAATTCATTGACCTGGTACTCGTTGTATTTCGCCACCATTACAGCATTAATACGTGCCCAACTCGCTGTTGGATTCATATCTTGGAATTGTTGTCGATAGCGAGCATTGAAGGACTGAAAATCAAAAATTATTTAAAATTCAAAACTCCCTTAAAAACCTTTCCAGACGAAATACTTTCAAAGTCCTCCTCATTATATTCAAATTGTACATCAATTAGCCCGAGCATTTGACACAAATCGGCGCTGCTGTTTGCATGAGGGTCTGGAACTTGTTCTCGGTTAGGCCCCAAATTTTTCTTTTTAGTTTTCCGTCCCCTCTTTTTGTGGCCTTTCTTTGAGTGGTGATGTGAAGAAGAAGAGGCAAACTCTTTAAAAACAATTTTTTAATTTTAACTCGACCAAAAAATATTTTTAAACGAAATTACCAGCTTCTCCAAAAGCAGATTCCCCCATTCCTTCCATTCCATAATTTCCACCTTCAAAGCCTTCCTCCTCTTCGTCTTCTTCCTCTTCTTGCATAGAATCAGCTTGCGCTTCGTCTACATTTTGTTGTCCTGTTGTATCCAAATGGTCGTCGTCGGAAGACATTTTTTAATATTTAATTGGAATGAATCAAAGAATATTATCTGCAAAAATAATTAAAATAAATGTACAGATTATTTTAAATCCGTTCTCGTCCAATACAGACACATAAAAATCAGTTTTTCAACACAAATAGCAAATGTACAAATAAGTATAAGTGAGTGAGAGTATATATCCCCATGTTTTGTTCCTTCATTTTTTGCCCACAAATTTACGAAGGTCCAACTTCTCAAGGTCCAACCCGCAATCATTTTTAGAAAAAATTTTTTTAATTTTTATATGTAAGCTCGAGACTTAAATCCCAAAAGTTATTAAAAATGGTAAAAAATTGTTTTTGGAAAGTTCTTTAAAGATTTATCAAAGTCGCGTTTTGAATGTGAAATGAGCGTGGACGCCATTTTTCTACACACAAATATACAAATATACAAATGAATAAGTATGTATGAGTGTATATTGAAGCTCAAAAGAAATTTTAATCAATAATCCATTAATTTTAATATCTTCTATAATATCTTTGTTTCGTTTCCAGACTCTAATGAACAATTTATTGACCTTCTCTCATTACTTTAAAAATACGGTATTGCAGTACTTTAGTTACTGTATTATGTAAAATAAAAATTCTCTCTCTCTCTCTCGTTGTCAAAGTCTTATTAACATTTTTTTAAATCCAGTCAAAATAAAAATTGCTATCAATTATCAAGTTTGTGTTAAAATAGATATTTTATATTTTAAAATAAATTTAATCAATGCTAGATACTGGGCATTTGTTGGCTCCATCTCGGGGTTTTCATAATCCTAGCTCCAGCTCCGGAGCTAGCTCCTTTAGCCATACCCAGCATCTCTCTTCTCTCAATAAATTAAATATTGAGTATACCCAAATCTGAAAATACAAAATATTTTAGTCAGAAAAGGAGGTTAATAATTAATAACCGTCATGAAATCGTGTATCTTCTTCGAAACGTGAGTAACCACGTCTATAGTTTAAATCATCGTGATCTAGTTTTGTAAATATATTTTTGTTTAATAATTAATTAAAATTTTAATTTTTAATTTTTAAATATTCTGATTTATTCAAAATATAAATATTCAGAAAGGTTGGAAAAACATTTTTATTGGAAATTCTGATTTTACTTAAAGTTTAACAATTACCTCCTTTATGTTTTTCATTTCTTTTATTAATGTTTTGTGTATGCCCTTCAGGCAAATCTTTATTTATTTTTAAACTTGATTGTTGATGAACAAAAAATGTTAGGAATATTAATAAAAATAATATTTTTTGGGGTTTTAAGGGGAGAATACTCATTTTCACAAAAATTCTTTAATTAAAATTTTTTGATTTGACTGGGTGATCTTTAAGAGAAAAAAACATTCACGAATCGATTAACAATATTAATCAACAACAAATTTTGTTAAGATTAATTTGAAAAATAATACATATTTAGTTTGAAATAAAATGTTTGTAATTTTTTTGAAATTTATTGGTAGAAGTTGCGAGTAATTTTAAGAGAAATAGGACCAAAGTGTTTAGAAAAATATTTTACCCCCTAATGTAAAAGACCTATTAGGTATTTAAATGAGTAGATATGCGCTCTAACTTTATATTTTCTAGTCGTTAAATTTTTAATTAAAATTATAGAAATTAGTATTTCGTTATTTCAACGCTATTTCAAATTACGTTAAAAATTTATTGCTCTCAAAGGGTATCTTTTGATTTTAAACATCTAAAATTAACTATCTACTTATGCAAGTAAAATAAACCATTTATACAACATAAAATACAAAGAAAAATTAACAAAAGGCAATAATACATACATACAATCTCATACAATTAAAAACACAATACAAATAATCACAACAAAACAAAATTACATCATTCCAGGTCCTAGGATTTCAAAAAAGAACGGTTCTTTAGAGCCAAGTTGGAAGCACACATACAATATCCCGCTGTCCCTCGGATCATCTACTCCATCTAATTTGTACTCAGCAACTTTGCAAAATTCTTCAACATCCTCTCCGATAAAATGACGTTCTTCATCTTTTATCATTTCGCCGCGCATGTTCCAGTCAGGATATTGGTAATAGAAGCCTTTAGATCCATGAATAACCACATGATGGTACATAAATTGATATCCTTTAGGGAAATATTCCCCTTCTTCATCATAAAGATAGAAACAGTTTGTGTGGAATTTCAACGGAGAATCGCCAAAAAATAATTGAAAAATTTCCGGATTGATATATCCTTGCTCGATTTTGAAGTTTTCAATGAAGCAATTTGAAAGTTTTTCCAACCAGTAACGAAATACAAGCATTTCTTCTATTGTTTCTGGGTATTGGTGTAATTTTAATCGAAGAAATTTAGGCGATTGTCCACCTAAAAATTAAATAAAAAATTTTTAAAAAGTCGAGAGAAGCTTCAAAAACTCACCAGATTCTTTCGGTACCAAAAACAAATAGGCAACTTCATTCATTCCATAATCATCAAGTGCCACATCAAATTTTTTCCGAGGAGAGTAGCTGGTGAAGTAGAAGTAAAGTGGAATCCGTTCTTGAATTGCTGCTTTCCACTGAAAAAGAAAATTATCAAATTTGTAATTAAGGGAACATTCAATTTACCTTTAATTTAGTCTCCTCACTTAGCTCCAAGTCCAATTCATTAGGTCCACCATACTCCACCAAATCCTGACAAACATCTGTAAAAACATTAATTTTTATTAACTAACAATCAGAAAAAACCTACAATTTTTCCAAACAATCAACTCAACAGAATAAAACACTTTTATTGTAGCCAATTCTTTGTTGTATTTGACGATCACTTCAGAAAAACGGCGATTTGATAATTGGCAGTTGTTTATTTGGTTGAAGTTGAGGCATTTGAGGATATCAAGGTTTGTTTCAGCGGGTAGAAGATTCATTGTTGTTTGTGGAGCGGATGAAGAGAAGTTATTTACTAATAAAACTTTAGACTTTTATACTATATTTTCATAAGCTTGTTTGTTCTTGGATTTGTTAATTCGGTGACTTCTCTCATCGGAAGAATGAGATAAAGTACGTATACACTGCGGTGTAAAAGATTCTCACTTTTCTTTAGAAACTTTAATCACAGATATGGGAGGTGTAAGAGTCGTTTTGATCGTACGTGTACTTGGCCTGTCTTATTTTCTCGTATTCACTCGTACAGCCATTCTTTACCTCGTACAGCACTTGACTATATTTCTGTTCCTACTCGTACTTCTAATTCCACTTTATTAATCAAACAAAATTTTAATTTATTTAAAATTTAATTTATTTTTTCCCTTGATGATATTACTACATATATGTATTATTCTTCATTTTGAAAAAAGAAACAGATTTTTAATTTACTGAAGAAAATATTTATGAAAAAAATTTTTCGAACTCGGATAAATTAAAAAATAAACGAACATTGAAAAACAAAAGGTAAAAACAGATTGCTTTTAATTTTTCAAAAATAACTGATTTTTTTTAATTTTTACAAAATTCTGATCTATCCAAAGTTTAATTAATTATTAAAAAAAGGATTTTATTTTTTCTTTGATTTTATCTTCTACATATAATAAAAAGTACAATAAACTTGTTTGAGTATATTTTCCTTAAACAACTTCTTCAGGATATTTTTTATTATAAGAAAAAAAGCTTAATGTAAATATAAGAACATTAATTTCTAGTTTTTATTTATCTTCAGTAATAATCTCTAATTTTTTACTCATCCAAATTATTATAAAATGGAAAAATAAAATTAGAATTTTTTAAAATATTTTACTAAAAAATAATTATTTTAGAAGAAATGTCCTCCTCCTCCCCCTCTTTACCCAAAGGGACAATAACAGCAGCTACAACATTCTCTCTAGTCTCTTTTCTGGCTTTACTCATAGGTGTTCCTCTACTTATTAATGATTTAAATGAACTTGAAAATTTAATGGCACATCAAAAACAAATTTATATGGATATGGTGAGGAGAAAAAAATTGAAAAAAATATTTTTATATTAATTGTGTTTCTATTTGTTTTTAAAATAATATAATTAGGAGATGGGATATCCTCCCATTTTCTTTTATCTTCAACCATTTTAAAATTAATCCGGGAAATACAATAATCAATTGATAATTAGAATCATCCAGAAATAAATTCAAATTTCCAGAAATGTTTAAAAGAATTTCTGGCATTTAATGACGAGGAACAATTTTATATTGTGAAGGATAGCTTTTAATTCCACCTTAATTTCAGAGAGATAATATGTGGAAAGAAGTTATGAATCAGAAGGAAACTGTACGTAAACAACGTTCTGCTGATTATGAACAAATACGAATTCGTCGACAATGTTAATTAAAGATTAAATATGTAAAATTAGAAACTCTTTAGATGATTCTGCCGTAAAGGGAGGGTCGTCTCAATCTAGCCAATGCCCAGCAGGTCCTAAAGGTCCACCCGGATTTAAAGGCCAGCCTGGTAAACTAAAAATTAATTAATTAATGGAAAAAAGAATTTAATAGGATTGGATGGTGAACCTGGAGCCGCAGGTTTGCCCGGAGGCGGTGCTGGTGCAGGTGGTGCTGGTGCTGAAGGAGGGTATGGACAAGCTGCACCAGTTGCCCAAACTTGTGGGAAATGGTTAGTTAATTGTATTAAGTCTTCAAAAATAAATTATTTTTCAGCCCAGCGGGCCCACCAGGCCTTCCTGGATATAAAGGCAAACGTGGACCTCGTGGAGAAAAGGGAGCAAGAGGAACGCCTGGGTCACCTGGACGAGATGGCCATCCTGGTTTAATATAAAGTATTTTGAATTCCTTTACAATTTCTAAAGGCGATGAGGGACCCGAAGGAGAAATTGGACTACATGGAGATATTGGAGACTCGGGTCCTAAAGGTCCTCCTGGAGAAGATGGAATTGGCTACTCAAAAGGAGCACCCGGTCCAAAAGGCGAGCCTGGAGTGCCTGGAATGGTTGGAGATGAAGGACCTCCAGGAGATAGAGGAGATGATGCACCGCCTGGTAATGAATAAATAAATATTAATATAATTTATATTCATTTTTAAGGTCCTCAAGGCGAAATTGGACCAGCAGGATCGCCTGGTGAGGGAGGCAAAGATGGGCATCCTGGAACAAACGGAAATGGAGGGTCGCCAGGTTTTTCTTCTGAGTGGGGAATTTTCAAATTTAATTATATTTAGGTGCTGATGCTGAATATTGCCCTTGTCCTGCACGTTCAAACGGTCAAAGTCCGGGAAAGGGGCAATATGACACCCAACCAGCTCCACAAAGCGCAGGAGCAACCGTTGGTATGTTCCTTCATTTAAATTTAATTCTCTAATTAAATTTCTTTTTAAGCCGCTCCAGCTCAGTCCCCGGCACAAACTGTATCTTCTTATTCAAACACGCGTCGCCTCGCGACATATAGCAAACTTGCTCATGCTGCTGCTTTGCGCCGAAGACATCTTCAATGAGAATAGAAAGAATAAAATAATTAATTAAATAGAACGAGAAAAATAATACTTAGAAAATATGTAAAATTATTAGTTAAATATTCATGAAGATACATGAATAAAGACTATGCTTTGATAAGCGAATTCTGATTATAACAGTATTTTTACTGCTAGCAAATTCTGATTTTATATTTTTATATAAACAATTAATTTGTTTCAGAATTTAAATTTTATATTTGTTCTTGAGGTTGTTTTTGTACTGCTAGCGTGAGCTTTGGTGAGTGGGATCTGGGAGAACGATGGTGGGCGCGACTGTAGTAGTAGCTAGGAAAGAGCATGCCTAGCTTGCGAACAATGTTGTACTAAAAATTAAAAGAAATATTTCCCAAGCATTTTAATAAAAAATTTTGCCTGATCGGGAATTTCAAGCAGGGAGTTGATAGCAAAAGACAATTCTTTGGAAGAGGATTGTTGATTCATATTTTCATCAGTGAAGAGTGAATGAAATTCAACAAAGTGAAAATTGTCCCAGGGTCGTTTTGGCAAGGACTCATCGAAGACCTTAAAAGTATAAACGGAAACTAAATTTAAGATTTTTCCTGAGGGATGCTTATTTGAAATTCTGATTTTTGGAATATTAAAAAATAGATTTTGCAAGTTCAGAAGTTTGTATAGAATTCTGATTTTCAGAACGTCTTCCTATAATATTTTTATTTTTCGTATGTTCAAAATTCTGGTTTTAGATAAATCTTAATTTTTCTTGAAGATGTTTTTCTAGTAGTTTCATTTCAGAATTATGCCTTTATTAAATTCTGATTTTTAAGAAATGTTCTGATTTCGCCCGAGTATTCCCACCTTCATCATATCCCATGGTCCATCCCCAACACCGACAACAATTATTGACAAAGGATATTGACAGGCAGCAACAATAGCTTTACGTGTTGCCCTTTCATTAGTTACTTGCCCATCAGCAATAATTACAAGAATGTGGTACTTAAAATTAATTTTAATTATTTTTTAAAAAATTATTTTCTTTCTAACATCCTTCCTCGCATAACAAATTTCCATTGAGCGATATATTAATGGAGCAAAATTTGTAGGGCCACTGAGATCGACTTTTGGTGTTACTTGATTGTATATTCTTTGAGAAAGAAATAAAAACTTATTATTTTTCCATAAATCACCTCAAAACATCATCCAAATCATTACATTCCCCCTCTGTAGTTCCATTCAAAGAAAATACAGACCAATCCCCAGTACTAGCATCTCCAAATCCAAAAGCGGGAATTCCATATTGTGTACCGGCAAAAGGGGCCAATGTCCTCCCCATTATTTTTATAACCTTTAAATATTTTAAAAATTTTCTAAATTAATTTATATACTTGTTGGTAAGGATTTTCAATTCCTTTTTGATCCACAGAATGGAGTGAACGTCCATTAAATGACCTTTCACCTTGATATTTATTACTTGCTGTGTAGTCAATCCCTTTAATATTTATTTTTACATAAAGAAAATTCTGATTTTTTTCAGAAATGTTTTTTTTCAGAAATTCTGATTTTTCTAAAAACATTATTCACCAAATATCAAATTTGATGATTCCAACCCAGCTTTACGCATAGCTTCTGATAATGCTTCCAAACTCTGTAATTTTAACAGCATTTCTTGTGTGCTTGTAACACCAACAACACTCAATAATGAACTTTGTCTAATTGACTAAATTAAAAATTTAAATTTAATTTTTATTTAAAAATTTCTGATTTTTTTTCTAAATTTTTTGTCAACAATCCCATTTCACTCTAAGAGAACTAAGTAAAAGTGTTTTCTCTTTATTTATTTACTGAAAATCGAAGAGTTGTCACCGTTGTATCTAGCGATGAAGTTGAATCATCAGTGAAAGTACTTCTTAAAAGAAATTGTGGTGCCTGGGGATTTTGTTTTTGATCTGGATATATTTGTTGTTTTTGTTGTTGATATTCTGGTGGGTGTGGGGGTAAAACAATTATTTGTTCGTTTTGTTTATTTAATTGTGTGTTTTGATTGAATATTTGTTGTTGATGTTTCTATAATTTAAATTATGTTTAAAACATCTAAATATGTTTTGTTTAAATCAATGTTTTGTTAAAAATAAGTGTTTGTATTTTTTATTTGTTTGTAAAAACATTTTTAAATTGTAAATAAAACAAGCTTTTTAATTATTAATCCCCTCTTAACAAAATGTTTTGAAACTTTTTTTGGTAATTCTGATTTATTTTTGCTTTGATTATTCGAATTATTTTAATTAATTTATTCTGAAACAAAAATATTATTTTTTACCTTCTCTTCTGTTTGCCCAACAAAATTCTTAGAATCTTCTTCTAACTAAAAATAAATATTTTGACTAAAATAATTTATTTTAAATTCTCTACTTTTTGTTGTTTCAATATTTCAGCCATTTCATTATCTTCAAAATGTAAAGAAGTTCTTGGAGGTTTTGGAGGGGGAATTTGTGGTTGTTGTGGCTCAGACAGTTGCCTTTTTAATTCTAAATTCGTTGTTGTAACCCCTCCTCCTCCTCCCAATTCTTGATGTTCAGAGAAATTTTCATCAACCAAATTTAAAGAATCTGCTTGGCTTAATTGGTCTGGTGGTATCTTTAATTATTTTTTTAATTAAAAATATTAATTTTTAATTTCCCTACTTCCATTGATTGTATTTCAGGTGCGTGAGTAACATCATCATCTCCGTCTTCAAAAAGAAGTATTGGGTCGGGTTTATCAAAAACTTCATTTGTAACTATTTGTTTACTAGTCCCATCAGCACCTGGAGTTGAACCACCAGCTGATTCAGCCAATAATCCTTGTGGGGATGAAGGACTTAGGACTGCCATTGCTGTTTTGTTTTTGTCTATGTCAGTCAATTCCTTTAAATGTTTACAAATAAAGCAATGTTTTGAAGGGAAAACAAAAATGTTTTCCATTAAATATTTTCCGGAAAAATTAAAATTAATATTTAAATTTAATTTCTTCCTCTAGAAAATTTCCAAAAAAACACCTTTGACGATTTTCTTCCAAAAACTGGAGTTCCTTTTTGTCTTGAATGTATTATTACAGGGGGACCCCCAGGAATTTCTTCACTCTCCAACATTTCTTCTTCCATAACAAATTCCCCTGATTGTCTTAATGATATCCTTTTTTGTTGTTTTTGTTGTTGCTAATTAATTTAGAAATTTAAAAAAAAGTTATTAACAAATACTTGTTCTCTCAAAGGTAAATGACCTTCTTGTTGTTGCATATAATCTATTGCTTCTTGTAACAGGGATTCTGCTGTTTGTTGTTTAATAGGCGATGTTGGGGGTTTTGTTTGTGGAGATTGTTGTAAGTAAGTTGAAGCAACTTGAGATTGAGAAGAAGGAAAAACAACTAAAAAGAATGTTTAGAGATAAATCAGAAATAATGTTTTCCGGAATCAGAACTAGTGTTTTCTCAGAAATACTCAATTAATATTTAAAATAAAATCAGAAATTGTATTTTTTGTATTAAAATCAGAATAAACAAATAAACAAATAATTTTCTGGAATTATCAGAATTTACTAACCCGTCGCCAATTTTTGTTGTTCTAAACTTTGTTCTGATTGCTGTTTTTGTTGTTGGATGTTTAGATTAATTTCTGCTGTTTCAATTATTACAGTATCATCTGTTTGTGCTGTTTCTTTTTCAATTGGAGACTGAGGAAAGCTGATTATATCGAAGCCTAAAGAAGCTGGGGATTCTGGGATGGAAATTGAACCGCCGGGTGCTTTAATAAATTAATTAAAATTTATTTTTTAAAAGAAATTTTTTTCTGAAAAATCAGAATTTTATTTAAACAAATTTTACTTTGTTTAGCTGATTCTGGTAAAGAAATAATTTCCTCTTCCCTCGTTGTTTTTATTTTTTTAGAATGTTTTTGTCGTTCTTCCTCAACCTGTTTATGTTTTTCTAACTCGATTGTTGCAGTTGTTGGGGTTTCATATTCTTGCAGTAATGCTGCTACTTGTTTTGCTTCCTCAGCATTTAGAGGATGGTGCTGCTAAAATAATTAAAACTTTTGAAATTATTAAAAATATTTAGTATTTTTGTATTTGAAATTAATTGGAAATAAATTCTATAAATTTTTCAGAATAATAAATATTATTTGTTTTCCGGAAAAAAGAATAAATAATTTCTGAAAGAATTAAAAGTTTTCCGGAATATTTTTATTCGAACATTTTGTTGCTGTTTTTGTTGTTCCTGAATTTTTGTTGTTTCCACTTTCTGATATTGTGTACTCCCTCTGGGCACAAATTCAATATCATCTGCAGTTGTACTCATTCCATCTCCATCCCCGTTATTAGAAAATAAAGAAATTCTGATATTTGTTTGTCCTTCCCTTCCCTCATCATATTCTTCTTCTTCATCTGTTGTTATACTTCCGCCACTTTGTGGAGATATTAATGGTTGTTGAAGAAGTAAATAAGGTTGGGGAGGAGGTTGTGAGGGAGGGGGAGAATGTTTAGATTGTTGGTGTTCTTGTGAGACTACTACAACTGATGCTGGACTTGTAGTAGTTAGTGGTGGGGGAAGTGGAGGAAAACAGGCATCTTCTTTAAAAATATTTTTTTATTAAATTATTTTTCCTAAATTCTTCAAAAGAAAAAAAATACCATTTTTAACTTTATTTTTAGTCCAAAATGAAATACAACGTAATAATAAAGCATCCCGTTTTTGTTTAATTTTACAAGTCATTTTTGTAAGGGAATAGAAATTTTTAAATAAATTTTAAAAGAAATATATTAAATAAAATTTAATTTTTGACGATTTTTTGTGTTAATTAAAAAATAAATAAAAAAAATATTTTATACATATATTTATCCACCTTAAACAATTTATTTTTGATTGGATGGCAGGGGAAAGCACGATGTGGTGACAATTGTGGAAAAATTCCTTTAATTTTTTCTTCTTTCCTAAATTTTCTCTCCTTTATCCCTCCAATCTTTTCTTAAAAACTTTTTTACGGTCATGGG